CGACATCAAATACGGATCCGGTGCGCGGGGCCGGCGACCCCGAGATCGCCGGGGGGTGGGGACTCGTGGCTGGGGTCGGACGCGGGGTGGTCGTCAGGGAGCCGGGCAGAGGGGTGTCTAGAGCCTCTGGGAGCCCAAGGGGGTACGGACCAGGAGCTTGAGGGGGTCACCGGGGAACTGCAGGTCGAGGGACTTGGGAAAGCAGAGGGCCGAGCTAGGGGCTGAGGATGCGCCGTTAGGATCTCCGGGTTGGGGTCGCGAGGCAAAGCTTATGGTGTCCAGTGTCCCGCGATTGACAGAGACGCCGGGGCTCGGGGTGTCACTCTTCAGGTAGCGGCCAACAGTCGGTGACCGGCGTGGAGGCATCGGACGACGCCAATAGCTACTGGCGGATCCGCGGCGGTTCGGAGGGCGGGTGTCCCCGCGGGTCCCCGGTGCGCTGCGGGCAGGCGGTGCGGCTCACGCACCGCCTCACTGGCAAGAACCTGCACACGCACCACTTCCCGTCCCCGCTGTCCAGCAACCAGGTGAGCTCCCTTCCCAGCGCCACTGCCCAGAGCGGCTCCTAGCGCCGAGCCTTGGGTTTTTTTCTAGACTCTTCCTCTCACTCCCTCGCTCCCAGCAGCAGCTTCTGTGAAATGGGAATTTGAATTCAGACACGTTTTCTGAGCGCCTCCTTTGGGAACACAGGTGACTTTCCCAGGAGAGCTCGGAGAGGGACAGGGCGAGTGGGACCAGGAGGAGATCCACATGGTCTTTGCAGGGGAGGAGGAACTGGGGCTGGGTCTAAGGAGTGCTGCAGGCCAGAGGGGGAAAGAGGGCTTTCCAGGCCTGCAGAGGAGCCCATGCCACTGCATGGAGTCATTGCATCCCAGGTCGGGATGGAGCAGAGGATGCTTTGGGGATAGAGACCTTGGGGCCAGCAGATGGCTTAGTGGCTATGTCACTGGACTCCCACGTGGCCAACTGTGGTTTGAGTCCTGGACCCGGTAGCTTAAAATTCACGCCAGGCGCATGTGCATGCGTGCCCAAAACCCCAAGAGGAGAAGGGAGAAGAAGGGATTGCAGCGTGGTTGCAAATCACAGTGATTTCTTGCTTTCTGTGTGTCTGGCGAGTGCATGCACCCTATAGCAAAAATCTCTCTCTAAGAAAAAGAAAAAAGAAAATCGCACCGTGTGTGTGTGTGTGTGTGTATGTGTGTGTGTGTGTGCATTCCCAAGATCCCAGGAAGAGAATGGAGGAGAAGGGATTGTAGTGTGGCCATTCCCTGCCCCCCTGATTGGGGGTGGGAGGATTTCTCACTTTTTCTCTCACTGTCTCTGTCTTTCTCTCCCTCTCCACCCTGACAAAAACTTCTAAAAAAAATTAGAGACCTTGACTCTGAGGCACTGAACTTTAGGTTGAAGGTGAGTCAGAGAGACTAGGACTGGGACAGCCTGGAGGAGGCCTTAGAGCCGTGGTGCCCTGTGGCCACTGTATGGACGGGTGCAATGGGATATACACACCTCAGAGAGCCTGTGTTGGGGACGGGGCCCAGGCCCAGAGGTCGCGTGGTTACATTTTTGCAGCTTTGCAAACGGAGGCTCAGAAAGGCTCGGGGAAAGACCAGGAGCCCAGCGCACTTGGCACGAGTGCTGCGGCTATGCAAATGACCACGGGGCACTCTGTACGTCCTCCGTGGTGACCGCTGTCCCCCCTGCACTCCTAGGAGGTGAGCGCCTTCGGGGAGGACGGCGAGGGTGACGACCTGGACCTGTGGACCGTGCGCTGCCCTGGGCAGCACTGGGAACGAGAGGCCGCTGTCCGCTTCCAGCACGTGGGCACCTCTGTGTTCCTGTCGGTCACGGGCGAGCAGTACGGGAGCCCCATCCGTGGGCAGCACGAGGTCCACGGCATGCCCAGCGCCAACACGCACAATACGTGGAAGGCCATGGAAGGCATCTTCATCAAGCCCAGCGCGGAACCCTCTGCAGGCCATGACGAACTCTGAGTGGGAGGCAGGGAGGGAAGGTGGTCGGGCGGGCGTCTACACGGCCACTCTCAGCGGAGACTTTGGGTTTGTAGGAGTCCTCAAGTGCCTTTATGATTAAAGAATGTTGGTCTGTGATTGCGTGTCACTGGGAGCGTGGGGCTGACCGGGAAGTGCCAGCCGTCTCTCGCCCTTTCACCTACACTTCTTTTTTTTTTGGAGAGATTATTCACTATAGGGCGTGTGCGCTCGCCAGACAGACAGAGAGAGACTTTAGAGACAGAAAGCGAGAAGTCACCCCCCAGGGGGGATGGTCACGCCGCAATCCCTTCTCCTCCATTCTCCTCTCGGGATCTTGGGCACGCACGCACACGCGCCCGGCGTGAGTTTTAAGCCACCGGGTCCGGGACACGAACCGCGGTCGACTACGTGGGAGTCCAGCGACATAGCCATTACGCTAACTGCTGGTTCCCTCACCTACACTTCTTGAGTAAACCCCTGTCCCAGCATGACCTGTCACCTGTACAAACTTTTTTTTGCTATAGGCGCATGTGCTTGCCAGAAAGACAGAGAGAGACAGAGAGACAGAAAGCGAGAAATCCCCCTCCAGGGGGGATGGCCATGCCGCAATCCCTTCTCTTCTCCTCTCGGGATCTTGGGCACGCACGCACATGCACCCAGTGTGAGTTTAAGCCACCAGGTCCGGGACTCGAACTGTGGTCGACTACATGGGAGTCCAGCGACATAGCCATTACGCTAACTGCTGGTCCCTATTTGTTTTAACTCTATTTATTGATGAGAGACAGACAGAGAACAAGGCATCTGCAATAGAGTCTTCATAGCGCTGGCCACCGCGTATCAGCCAGTCTGGATCATAGACATGTGTGTGCACCGCTTGCTCGTGGAAGCCTCTGGACTCGAACTGGCAACCTTCCCATGTAGGTCAGTCTTGCAAAGTGAGTTTTGTTTTTGTTTTTGTTTTGGTATAGGCCACATGCTCTCACTGAAGATAAGAGACAGAGAGACAGAAAGCAAGAAATGCCACAGTCTCTTCTTCTCCATTCTCCTCTTGGGATTTTGGGCATGCACGCACACGTGCCTGGTATGAGGTTTAAACTACCAGGTCTGGGACTCGAACCGTAATCACCTATGTGAGAGTCCAGTGACATAACCATTATGCTATTCACTGGTTCCACAAAGTAATTTTTTTTTTGGAGATGTTTTTACTATTGGGTGCGTGTGCTCCCCAGAAAGACAGAGAGAGAGAGACAGAAAGCGAGAAATCACCCCCCAGGAAGGATGGCCACACTGCAATCCCTTCTCCTCCATTCTCCTCTCGGGATCTTGGGCACGCACGCACACGTGCCCGGTATGAGTTTAAGCCGCTGGGTCTGGGACTTGAACTGTGGTCAATTACATGGGAGTCCAGCGACATAGCCATTATGCTAAGTGCTGGTCCCAGTAATGGTTTTTTGGTTTTTTTTTTAACTCTCTTTTTTTCTTTTTCTTCAAAACATTTGTTTTACTTACTATTATTATTTTTAATTTCATTCATTTATTTTATTTTACTTTATTTTATTTTGAATTTGACCAGAGAGAGACAAAGAGAGAGAAGGAAAGTGAGAAAGCAAGCTGCCAGGTCCAGGACTCGAACCATGGTCAGCCATGTGGGATTCCAGCCACCTTAACCACCATGCCACCTGCTGGCCCCTTACTTATTATTTTTTAATTTGCTATAGGACATGTGCTCTCACCAGAGCGAGAAAGAGTGATAGAGACAGAAAATGAGCAAACTGCCAGGTCCAAGACTTGAACCACAGTTGGCTGTGAGGGAATCCAGTCTTAACCACCACATTACATACTGGCCCAGAAAACTGTGTTTTTTCTTTTCTTTCTTTTTTTTTTTTTTAAGAATTATTTTATTTAACTTTATTTTAATTTGACCAGAGAGGGAGAGAGAGAGAAAAACGGAAAGTGAGAAAGCAAGCCACCAGACCTGGGACTCAAACTGTGGTCGTCCATGGAGGAGTCCAGCGTCCTTAATCAGCACACCACCTGCTGGCCCCATGTGTTTTTAAATTTTTTCCCCCAGAACTTTTTGCTATAGGGCATGTGCGCTCACCAGAGAGACAGAAAGTGAGAAATCACACCCCCCGAGATGGATAGCCACACTGTAATCCCTTCTTCTCAGGATTTGGGACACACATGTACACATACCTGGCATGAGTTTAAGTCGCTGGGCCGGGGACTCGAACCATGGTTGACTATGTGGGAGTCCAGTGACCAGTGACGTAACTATTACGCCACCTGCTGGTCCTAACAAAGTCATTTTTTTTTTATCACTACTACACCATCTGGCCCCCTTTCCAAACATTTTTTTTAAAAA